TATATATATATATAGAGGAAAGTGAAAGTAAAAACGTGACTCGCTTAAAAAACACAAATTTTAAATTTCCTACTCTATTGTTGAAAATAGGGCAATTGTTTGTATGAACATCTTATAACAAGAGATGTTGGTGTCTCCTATCAACCTTTTAAATATTTCTCTAACGGGACACCATGTTGATAAGTGAAAACTAGTTACGATATATCAATTCTATTTCTTGCCTATTAAAATTCAAAAGTACAACAAACTATGATCAAACATTTGCAAGCTACTAAATTCGTAAACGCTTGGTTTCCCCTAGTAGGATTAATTCGTGTTAGAGTTTGGACGGACAGTTAGGGATGTTTCAGTCGACTTCCTCAGCTTTGTCAATCTGAATTATCTATATCGGGAATTGTCTTGTTAAATTAACCACTCGAGCGGTTTTGGTTCGCTTCAACACGACCGAGTATTGTGCACGGCAAAACATTCTCTACACCATTTTATCTAATAATAATGATTAGAAATACAAAAAAAATCTGGTGCGCGCAACACACAACTTTCAATTACCGATCTACTATGAATAGAAATTATTTTCAGGCAATGCTGAGCTATTATAAATTTTTTTGAAGTGCATTTTAAACAGAGCTAAAGCTTAAAGCTTACAGATAACAATCCATTAAGACCATTATAATTACAAAATGTCTATTTAATATATATCGACAACAGGCAATAAAAATCTAATCACTCCATCTCCTTTTATAAACCACTCAACTTTCTTTGCCTTTATAAACTTCAGAATGACTAACTCCAATTTCAATATCTTTCAGTGATGTCATTTTAGTGATATTTTTAGTTGAAAAAGTTATCTATACCGACAATGAGTAAGTTGATTCCGGAGGTGGTGATGGCATTGTTGAAATATAGAACTGAGAATAAAGGTATGAATTTAGGTACTTATTTCTTATGAAAAACGTTCTTAGGAAAGATACTTTATTAAATATCTGTAGAAACAAGGTTTTTTTAGTCTCAACAATTAAAAAAAAACATTTTAAATGTATCCAAATTTTCGTCTCTTCAGGGAAAAAAACTAGAGACCATATCTTTCCTCCTAGTTGTCCGATCTTAACGATTTTTTTTTTTTTTTTTTGTTTTTTTTATAATTCCACAAACTTTTGAAAAACCATATACAATATCCCCAAAAAAGTCTATACTTTTTGAGTTATTCGGAATTTAATTTTACCATCCCTCGTAACTTTTTTTCCAGCTTCTTTTCGTTGAAGTATGTTATATAGATAAATTTAAATGGTGCCGAGAAAATGACCTTAGCGAAGTTTCATTGAAATCGGTACATTCGTTTAGGCGCTACAGTCTATAGCAACGCAGGTTTTTCTGCATTTTTTTCTCTTTTATTAACTTATCAAATTCTTTCAAAAGTTATATTTAGCATTTTTTCATTACTTTGAATAATGTGAAATGATTAACTTTTTAAAATAAACCATATTAAAGGTACTTTAGAGGAAGACGTATATGAACATTAGGCATTTAAGCCCTGTAAAGTGACATCAATGGGGATAAGACCTAATTGATATTAAAGATCACTTAAATTATACAATGATACACCGAGTTTAATCAAAATCGTTAGAGCCGTTTTTGAGATAATTGTGAAAATATACTTAATATCAGTTTCGTACTACTTTTCGTTTATGAGCTAGACTGTTAACACACACACACACAGACCATTTTGCGACACTTGGTTATTTGAACTCAGGAGACCTCAAAACATGTATTTCCGTTGAAAACTGAGATTCGAAAATTTTCACGATCGCAATACTTACCCTTACTATATATTACATATATACGTAAGTAAAAGTAAAAATCTGTCAAGTGAATCGGTATAGTTTCCTACAAATTTTTATTTATTACATAAAGAAATAGGTATATATGCCTTCACTTCACTAACATTATAATTCCATTTAAAACTGGATAGAATAATCTAATAAGAACCGTCTAATAAATCACAAAAGTTTTTTAATTTCACTTACCTATATTGTTTTATTAATTTATATTCCACCCTGCCTTGCCTAATGGGCTATACGGTCGTTTGCAGTAGTGGGATGTTATGCATGACTGCGTAACAACACACTACTGTAAGTTTACAAGTTTTTATCTTCGGTGATTTCTGATTAAGGCTGACCGTTTTCCGACGGTCTTCTTGGTGGTGGTCCTCTTCTCCGTACTCCGTGCTCCGATGTTGAAGTGGGCTGGACCCACTGCCTCCTTCCAGTCATAAATAAATTTCTTGAACCGAGAGAAGTCCTCCTTACTTACCAACTGAGGAACTTCATCCTCTGTTAGGACGTAAATTTCCGCGGTTCTCATCATTGTCCCTCTCATTCCTTCGAATGCAGTGCAGGTCGCGACCACCGGCTCGACAGTCTCCACTAGTGGGGCATTTATGTCGTGATCTATGCCCTATCCAAAGCCATGTAGCTTAGCTCGAAAACCCCCATGCCCCGTGAGGAACTGTGAAACCCAATAGTCCGGAATTGTGCATCTAGCAGCGATTTTAAGGTGGGGAAGTATTTCCTAAGAGTACTCCCTTTCGGGGTAGCAACCCACCGACGGCTCCATTCCTCAAACCTATCCTCCCGGATTATCTTCTTCCATTCCTCAATCATATCTTCTCGGATTATATTCTTCCATTTGTTGAGACACAATCCTCACCCGTAGATTTTCTAGAACTCCTGCCAAGTCTTCTTTCTTAAACTTTTGTTTGGTCACATCTCCTCGCAGGAGGTCGAGAGATACCGCTCCCGCTAGGACCTGCACTGCTTCATGTGAAGTTGTCTTAAATGCTCTGGTGACACGCAACAGGGCCATCCTCTGGATCGACGCCAACCTTTTTCGCTGTCGCTGTATGAGGTTCCTATACCAGGAGAGAGATGCATACTTCAAGATACCCAGTAAAACACCTTTACAGATCGTCATTGTTTCTGGATATCTGACGCCCCAAAATTCATCCCCGACACGACAGAGTCCGTTTAAGACTTGGGTCACCAAAATTGCTAGATAACCCAAGTGAGGTGTTATATTTTACCACCTTATAACAAGGTATGTTACCACCTCACTTGGACGTATTATGTGACCTTCTACATCCATGCTGATGAGGAGCACTCTATCAATCGTACCCTTCAAGAGGATGGCTTGTATCTTTTCAGCAGCCATCCTCATTTATTCATCACTTACCTATATATGTAATATACAGTAAGGGATAGTATTGCGATCGTGAAAATTTTGGAATCTGAGTTTTCAACGGAAGTACACGCTTTGAGATCCTCTGAGTCCAAATAACCGATTCCCGTAAAATGGTCTCTGTGTGAACAGTCTAACTCAAAAATTAAAGTTGTACGAAACTGATATTACGTATTTAAGATAGGTATATAACTGAGATGTTACAGCAACTTTTTCTTTAAAATCGGCTAACCTTCGTAACAACACATTTTTACGATTTTCTCGAAAAAGGCTCCTACGATTTTGATTAAACTCGGTATATTAGTGTATTAATAAGATTTTTTAAATATCAGCTAAGTCTTATCCTCGAGGATGGCACTTTACAGAACTTAATTGTCAATGTCCATATACGTCTTCGTTTAAAGTACCTTTAATTTGGTTTATTTAAAAAAAAATCAACTCTGTCTTATTAACAGTAACTGTACAAAATTTAAAAAATGCCCTAATGTAAAGCATGAAAGAATTTAATAATTGGAAACTGGAGACAAATGGGAAAATATCCATTTAGGTCGAAAAAGAACCTCTGAATATACAAATCAGAAGGTATACATTTAACGTACCTACGTGTGGAGAATTTTAGAAAAAACATTGTATAATATAGAAAGTCGTCGAAGACAATAGAGAGTGATGAAAACATTATAAATGATAATTTGTGAAAACTAATATTATTTAACGCACCAATATTTAAATCCCTATTTTTCAACTTGCGCCATGAATCCCCTAAAGCAGTTTAACGAAGGAAGGATGAGTTAATCGGAGAGTTCAGACGGTTACACAGCGCCGAATTGCGTGAACTGTGTCCGAGTAATATAATTGAGGTAATTTCATCACGCCGAATCAAATAGGCTTGTAAAATTGTTGGGCTTAAAAACGAGAGAATCAATAAAAGGTTAATATTTGCTGTACCGATTGGTAAACGTCCGAGGGGTAGACCGAAGCGAAGGTGGGAAGATTGCATTAAAGCCGATCTGAAGGGACTGGGTTTGGACGGCGAACGGTGGAGAGAGGTGTGTAATAAGGTGGTGTCGGCATCGAACCTTCGGGTTCGCTAAGCCTTTTATTATTTTATTTGTCAACACTTTTACAAAAGTGTAAAAGTGTAATAATATTATTATTATTATTAATATTATTTAACGGATACTGCATATTTCCAAGGAAATCAAATGAAATTTACTTACTAAATGTAAAATTTTAAATTTTTTTAAGTTTGAAAAAAAGTATTTAAAATTCACCGAATCAAGCAAATGTCATTGTTTAAAAAACTATTTCATTGTAGTTGTGTAAAAGAAGTGAAATATATAAATATTTCATGGATGTATAAAACATATGCTTTTAGCCCTAACCTTATAACCTACACTTTCTGTAGTTTATAAGAACTAGGTATATTTATGTATACTGTTGTTTTTTTAATGGCTAAATTGAGTCGAAAAAAACAGACCTTGAAATCATGTAACCAATACAAATCGTAAGGAAGCTATACTGGTCTTTATACTTGGCGTGGGTTTCCTTAAGGTGTTCGATTCTACGGCTCAGTTTTTGACACCGAGCTTCCAAAATCAAATTCTTCTGGAGTTGAGTATTACCCTGCTTTTATATAAATTATGGCGTTTTTATGTTTCATTTTGTTTTCTTTATCTTTTTGAAGTCATTTTCATTATATAAATTGGAAAAATATTATAATAACGATGGCAGATAAATCATAAAATATAAATATAAAAATAATAACAGATGTTTTCCAAGTTGTAAATGTGGACAAAAATTTTTATTGTGGAATCTTTCATACAGACTTAAAACTCAAATGTTACGTTCCTCGACGTCTTCGGCTTCTTACGACACACTGGAAGTTTTGTTCGATGGTTGAGTTCGTAATCGCATGTAGAGTAAGCCATCCCCAATCCGAACCCCAGTCCGAGGAGGAATGCCCAACGCTTTCCTTTGAAAAAGAAGATAATTTTAAAAATTCGATAAAAGTTACTAAAAAAAAAAAAAAAATACTATGGATGATTATAACATTAGATGCAATGGATATTTGCGTACATTTTCAATTTTTATTTGTCGTTTAAGACTATTTAGAATAAAAACGCAAATAATTGCGAAGTTTTAATAAAGATAATTAGCGTTAAAGAAAAGTGGTGGGGACAGAGCTATTTCACGACAGTAGAGACATCGTAACGTCATGACATACCAGCGCGCATTGACCAATCTAGGAGAAAATTAATGACGAAATTTTTAAAATTCAACGCAATGAGATATAACAAGAATGTTTGATTAGAGCATAATCATAAATTGTTTTGATTTTAGCGGTTCCCAACGATCCTCTAAGCAAATACTGATTTGATGGCTCATGTTTTGTTCAATTATTGTCTAATCTTTCATTTGAGCTGAGTACAACATCCGCCAGAAACTTCGTAAATAGTTTCATCTCATAGTAACCTACAAATATTTTATTTACGAAAACTCTTAGAATTGGGGCGTTTTCAATCTGAAGAGAGGTAAACTTTGTCTATTTAATTAGGTACTCAAAACTCGTAAATACGCATTTGCTTTCTACTTGGATCGTAAAATAATTTGATCACAAAATCGAGAAAAAAAAGTGGCCTTCAAATATTGAACCTACATCCCCAAATTGTAAAAATAACGAGGTTATATAGGACAAACGGCCCAATATTTTTGTAGGCCACATTTTTTATCGATGTTTTGATCAAATTATCTTACTATCCAAGTAGAAATCAAAGGAGTATTTACGAGTTTATAGTACTTAATTAAATACACAAAGTTTGCCCCCCTAAAATTGAAAACTTCCCAATTCCAAGAGTTTTCGTAAATAAAATATTTGTAGTTTACGATGAGATGAAACTATTTACGAAGTTTCAGGCGGCCAGAGCACAAGAAAACTTTTATTTTTATTTTTTGGAGAGCTGAATTCAGACAGAAAACCTCTCCTCCATCCTGAATCCGCCAATCATTGAAGAGAATATTTCTTATTCATTTCTGGAAGCGGTATGTTCAAGTTATTGTTTGAGTAACCTTTTAGCAAATGGTCTGTAGGAGCGTAAAAAAAATAGAATTATTGCTGGAGTATGAGTAGGGAGATTTCATGCGGCAATGAGGTAAAACTAACATTTTTTTTTTTAAATTATATATTTGTAGCTTACGTTTGAAAACGACTGTAGAAAGAAGTAATCCAACAAGTGCTCCAGTTCCTGTAACATCGATTAATTTACACAAGTAAAATAATATTCAAACATTAAGGAATAAGGATCGATAGCGAACTTAACAAATAATATAACCAATAAATATATATATCCTAATAGGTTCGTGTTTAAAAATCTAATGTGTATAGATCGTGTTTTTTTTTTTTTGTTAGTTACACTTCAACCACAGAACCTATTTTTTTACTAGGTAAGCACTTAAAAATATTGGGTTGGCAAATAAGTCCTTTCGGTTATTCTGTTTATTTTTATGTCACTGTGATACACTTCTTATCTGATGAATTAATCCCTCAGATGGATTGTTTATCCTGTTTGTAATATGTCAACAACTATATCTGTTAACTCTTGTTGAAACTAGCAAACTATTGCACTGTGAATATGGAAGAAAATATCATTCATTATCGCCATATTTTGCTATATTATTTTAAAAAAGGTAAGCGTGCTGCAGAAGCTCATGGAAAAATTTGCAGTGTTTATGGAGATGATGCCTTAACCGAAGGTACCCGTCAAAATTGGTTTACCAAATTTCATTTAGGAAATTTTGACATGAACGATACTCAACGGCCTGGGGGCCCACATGAAATTGAAACGAGCAATGTTAAGACTATTGCTGATCGAAATCCATCCAATCAGTGCGAGAGATTGCTATGACCGTAAATGTACTGCACACAACCGTAAAAAAAACATCTACACAAGCTCGGCTATGATTCCAGCCTTAATGTTTGGATTCTTATTCTTTATTTATTTATTTTATGTAGGCATGAAATCAAAAAACTAATCATAGAGCTTTGAAGAGCAATGATTCAGCATTTCAACGGATACAGTAACATAAAATTTGGAGAACATCCTGAAGAGTTATGAATGATAGAAATGGTGTTGTGTTCCATCAAGATAACGCTAAGCCCCACACCTCATTGGTCACTCGCAATAAATGATTGAGACTTGGATGGGACCTTTTGCCTCACCCTCCCTATTCACGAGACCTAGATCCAAGTGACTATCACTAATTCCGGCCTCTTTAGAACTTCATGATTGGAAAGAAATTCCAAAAGAAAGAGGACATCAAAAACCACTTGGTTTAGTTTTTTAACAGAAAACTGCAGACATTCTATGAACATGGCATTATGCAGTAAATGGAATGATGGGAAAAAAGTCATATTAAATAATGGACAATATATTGTAGACTAAAATAAATTTTAAGCTTACGATACATTAAGTTTTATTTCAAACTGAAAAAGCGAAAGGAGTTATTTGCCAACTGAATACAAAAACTTCTATTAATATTAACAATTATTCTCAGGTGATCTTATTGATATTATTTATTTGATCCACATTGAGAAATCCATCAAAACGATCCACTATGGAAAAGAAGAATGTTTTAATCGATTGTTTTGCTTTTTGTAAGCTAGTATTTTTGTTTTTATTTTGTGTTGTTTTTTTTCGACTTCTGTCGGCTTCTCAAGTAAAGATGTGGCGATAATATCGATATCGATGGATATCCATACCATATCGCCCGTTATCGTACCGAATTTATAATTCCGAAAGGATTCAATATTATCATAATATCGAAAGAAAAATGCCAATAATGGACTACAATGATCTTTGGGTATAATGATGACATTGACATAACGGGACTTAAATAATGAGACAAAAACAAAACATATGACTACAGCCTCCTGTGGAGCCACCTGTCAGGTAATTTAGTAATCTTTCTAATTATCAGGGGGACAATCAAGAAAAAATGCACACGAGTATATGTATATGAGTTACTAACGAATAAAGTTTCTTTCCCTTCATAACTTTTTTTCATACAATCTAGAGGGGATAGGACTATCTTTTGCATATGAAGGAGAAGAAGAATATCTTCAAAATGAGTGGTAAATCATTGGATTTGATGAAGAGTTGACAAAGTAATGGCATATCGACAAAAAAAAAAAATCTTTTAGAATTTTTTTTATTTTTTGTAATACATGTAATCGGAAAAATTATATAGTATACTTATATTGAAAAACCTTAAAAACATTCAACTACATTAACGAAAAAAAAAAAATCAAAAACAATCACCGATCATAACCTATACCCGAATTTCTACTCATTTGTTTTAAAAACATATTCTTAATAAAAGATCGTTTTAATTTCTATGGCTTTGTTATAAGTGAAAAATATTTGCAATTTATAAAAAAATCTAATGTAATCAGAGGTATATTCAATAAATAGTTTTATCTAATTTCAAGTGAAAAAAACTTCAAATTCCCTAAAACAAGAATACTAGATAAATATTCTATTACTTATTACAAAACCATCAATTTGACACAGTCAAAATTTTAATTTTTAACTAACTAATAAGATGTATATAAAAATTAATTTACTAAATAAAATGAAATTTGAATTAATATAATGTTTTACATACCAATATTTTTTGCACCATCAATTGCACATTTGTCCCAACGGGGACCAATGTCGTCTTCAAATGCCATTCCTTATTTTTGGGCTTATGAAAAACATAATCAAAATAATTCAACTAACTTAGAATTTTTTTCATGTGGCTTTTATGAAACGTAAATCTAACACTCATACAACACTAGCTACGATACCAATAATACTACCATAGCGCATATGTTTGATTATTCTTTACGAAAACATGTGGCTGTATACGTGTATTTCTTTATTTGGTTAAGCGGAGTTTCTATTTCATTGATTTATTAAAATAATAAAGTAAAGAATTGTGTGAGTGCTAGGTTAGAGAAATGTGATAGAAAAAACATAAAGGTTACCTGAAAGGAAGTTTACACTGCCACAGTTATCTTAATTTCTTTTTTTTTTCTATGTACGTAAAAGCTTTCATCTAAATGAATAATATTCTATGAATTTATATCACATCTGTAATTACGCTTTAGTTAATTAAAAATAATTTATTTCTTAGTTTGGCTTTTTAAACGATAAAAAATTTCATTAAGTACAAAAACAGGAACTTACCAATTGATAATTCAATTTTGTATGAATATATAACACTCTTGTTGTGCGACTGAATTCCTAATTCGTGATGAAAGAAATTTCGACGTAACATTAAAACAGTAAGCAGTGAGATTTTTAGTGAAAAAGGTTTGTAAGTGACATCATTCTAAAAATATCCTTTATATTAACCTAAAACAAAAATACAGCCACCCACAAACCTTTTTCACAAAAATCTAAATTTATTCATTTTAGTTTTTTTTTTTTTTTGTATGGTGCATTTGTTTTTCAGGGTCATTTTCAAAAGAAATGTCATTTTACATACTTCATAAATAATTAGACCAAATACCATAACGTGTCTTAAAATATTCATAAAGCATGATGTAACATTGCTTAACTTCATTTTAGTTCGATTGTTTGAGCAAAAATGATTTTTTGCATTTTTTTTAAGTGCAGTTTTTGATGATCGTCTCCTTTTATTACTCACAATCATTTAGATCATGCTATATACACAGATTCCCGATGAATGCCGGAAATAGCCGAGTATTGAAAAATCTTATGTTATATTCTCCAAAAGTAATGTAGTTTTTTTTTTTTTCAAAATATGTTTATGTCGATATTCCTAACGCCCAGAAGGGGGTTCTATGGTGCAAGTTGCGCCATAAAAACTAATGATGGGGGCACTTTTTGACGGGGTTTTCAATTTTTGAGGAGGGCACCTTTCGACGGGGTTATGAATTTTCAAAATGAAAAGTTTCAAATCAAAAGACAAGTGGAATCATGGAACAGACCACAGGATGTGCAATGGTATGTAACCTATGAATATTCAAATTCTTCTTTCGTTTGCACTGTTTTTAAGAAGAAGAGAGGAATAAAATATCTTGGGAGGGGTGGGAGGTTTATGCGTCATCGGCCTTAGGGGATGGGCACCCCTTCTAACGCCTCCTTTACAATTAAATTTTGCTCATTGTAGCATTTATCATGTTTTTGTTGACGAACGTTTGCTATTCCGTACTGAAATTTCAATCAAAATGGATCTTCCCAAAAAGCACTTAAATTCCATAAAGGAGAAAATGTTGCTTCAGTTAAACGGAAACTTGCAGAAGCATATAGAAAAATACGTCGTTAGAAAAAGATAGTGGTTACATCTTGGGGAAACACCGAAAACAGAAACAAGATAAGTACTTCATCCGAAAAAGTAATGACTAAAACTAAAGATCAATAGAGGATTCATTTTATAACATCATGAGAATACGAGGTCTCATTTTGTAAAATAAGGACTGTAAAAATTTAAAGACTTCGGATGGGAAACTATTCTTCACCGATCATATTCTCCTGACTTAGCGCCATTGGATTATCACCTTTTTCGAAGTATTCAAAGCTCATTAAGAGGCAGAATTATGTCGGTTTTTTTTACGATACCGACATTACTTATGTTATGGCTTGATAATATTGAGTTGTCTCGAAAATAATGCAGGATTTTGAGTTTTATTTAAAATATCCCCCAATATAACTAACTGTTTACGTTTACTGGATTATTCGTTTGTATGAATTTCAACACTTATTAATCCTCTTCCGACAAACGATAATGTTTGTTTACCTCTATAGCATTTCCCTGCTTAGAAATAATTCAGTCTTTACTAAGATGTCAAGGATTGATTTTCGAATAATTTTGTTTTAAGAGTTTAAATGGGGCACAGACGGCCAGAAACATAATCCAAGTCTGGGGCGAGAGCAGGATTAATGAGTCCAATGTTTAATGGTGGTTCAAAGAATTTCGAAGGTAGACTTCAGCCTTGAAGACAAAGACAGTCGTGGAAGGACTTCCTCTCTTGATGACAGTGTTCTGCGGGCTTTGGTGGAAGAAAACCCCAGAACAACTGTTCAATAACTTGCAGGGAAACTTAATCTTAGCAAATCGACTGTAGATGACTACCTCAAGGCGATTGAAAAGGTAAATGTAATGATGGTTACTGTTTGGTGGGCTTAATTTGTTTTGATACACTACAGCTTCTTAAATTCTGGAGAAACCACCAATGGCGAATCACTTTGAAACCAAATTAATGCAATGCATCAAAAATTGGCTATAATCAGGCCATCTTTGGTCAATCGGAAGAGGCCTATTTTCTAGTATGGCAACTAGGGGTTGGAGAGAAAACGACAAACGTTTGAAAAGAACAGTTCTTGATCTCAAACGAATGAACTGTTCTTTTTCATAAAGGATAAGTTTTTTTTTTTAGTTCACCCGTTTGCCACTAATCGAGTTAATTAATTTTGTTTCGTTTTTTCCAAATGAAACAGAAGCTCTTTCTGTTTTCCAACTAACCTATCAGTTCATCATGAAAATAATCCGTTTTTTTTTAATAAGATATGTTTCTACTGTTATGTTTAGGGATGTAATTTTTAGCTCCCATTATTAATGAAGGCTAGGAATAAATAAAAACTTTCATTATAGTTACTAAATTACTACAGAACGGTCCTTCCCCGTTCAATGTCAAAGTCACAAGGCCTTCTGCCACATATGTAACCTTTAGCTATCCCCAATCCTTAAAATGCCCTCGGGCAGTGGAAGGAATTTATTACATGTTTATATTGTATTATTGTATACTATATATGTAATTGTTTCAATAAACTTTTTGGAGGGTAAGAAAAAAAAAAAAAAAAAAAAAAAAAAAAAAATCTAAATTACTAAATTAACTTAAGCATATATTTAGGCAAAATTTATGTTTTTAGATTTATCTATCTATATTAGTGTCTTGCAGACCGAAAATAATTTGTTCACATAAATCACTTCAAGTGCTTAAATAAAATTAAATACTATTATTGAAGAAAAGAATGGATGGGGTGATCAGTAAAAAAAAAAAAAAAAAAAAAAATCTCTTCAATTATTCACTGCAGTCAACCAATAATCCACAATTATAAACACTAATATGTTCTATAAAAATTGAAAAAGGCAAACATTTTTGAACTACAGTTAAAAAAGACTTATAATTACTAAGCAGCGTAATTTCAAATTAAGAATAACACTTGATAAAGAAATATGGCAAAACATTTATAACAAATTTGTTTGAAAAAGGAAAAATTTCTAAGCTCAGCGATAGCACCGGATCCATCTTTATGCTGTGAGAAAGGATGTCATCAATAAGCTCATCGTTGAGAGTTTAGGAACTTGTCCAAAATCACAACCACCATATTAATACAAGAAAGTTAAAACATTATTAAAATAAAAAGTGTTCTATGCGTAAAAAATAATTTTCAGTTTTAATTAGTTAAAATATAATTTTTAAGATTAAGCATTCGGGTAATATTAAAAATAAATTAAAACGTTATCAATTTCAAGCTCGAACATGCCAAACTTTAAACATAAAACGTTTCATTCGTTACCAAACTTAATAAACGAATTGAATCCATTTTAAAACGAATAAGACGGTTATCAAACGAATAGGACATACAACATGAATCGTTGCGTTGTTCTACGAACTATTTTTTTTCAACAGTTCTTGAGAACTGTTGTTTTTTGTCAACGAACAGTTCATTTACGCCACTAGCGGATCCAGGATTTAATTTTGGGGGGGCTTCAGCCCGAAAGCTTTTTTTTTTCATAGAAGTAACGATAATTACTTTGGAAAATAAGAAAGAAACTAAGTACCTATATGAACTGGTGTTTAAGTGATTCCTAAGGCCCTTTTAAATGTAATTACACGAATAATTATACTTTAAGAGATAATTTTTTAATATTTTTTCCGATAAAACATGGTTATATTATACCATTTTGGGGGGAGGCTTCAGCCCGAAAGCCCCCTCCCCCGTAGATCCGCCCGTGATTTACGCTTTTCTAAAGTAGCAGAAACGCCTCCCTCCCAATGGCAACGCCCGACCACTTGTCTCACGTGTGACTTCACAAAATCTGTTGGAGCTTGCATATGAAACTCTGCCACATTCCTCCGACTCTCCTATCAGTTTTTTAGATAAATGGATCACTACTTATGTGACAAAAAATTTAATGAACAAAGGGAATTAGAAAATACGTTTTTGGAGTTTATCAATTCTAAACAGAGGGAATGGAAAAGTTGACAATACCTTGGCAGAAATGTATTGACAGTAGTGGAGACTAATTTGATTAACTAAAACAGTTGCAAATCTTTCTTTTTTCTTTTTAAACCAAAATGCTCCATTATTTTCCGGACAACAGAATACATAAAGATATAAAATATGTAATAAGGAAATATCTGGTAAAAAACAAGTTGATATAGCTCGTAAGTTTCCAAAACAATACACTAAAAACTTAACATAAAACAAAAACACCCGGGCTCCAATGTTGAAATGGGCTGGCCTCCTTCTAGTCATAAAAGAATTTCTTGAACCGCAGAAGGTGATCCCTAGCTGTGGTGTGGAAATTGCTCCTCAGTGGGGAAGCAAATTCAGATGGCTCTCATCAGTGAGATCCTTAACTCATCAAATGTAATGCAGATCATGATCAAATATATTACCTAAGTTAATCTAGACAGTATCCAGAACACCACAAATGGTTGGTGCATTAAGAATCTACAGTAGCTCACCTGGATATTGATGGAAATTATTAAATAAATAGTTCAATTTATATTACATTAAAAACAATAATTTATTGTAATCAATAAACATCCTAGTAAAGTTTCACATTCTTATGCTGATTTAGGTTATTTTCTAATATTATGTTTCTTCATGCAGGGATGTATGGTGGCTTCTGGTGTAGGAAATCTTCACTTTATAGTGGAAATATTCACATGGTATAGTGAATAAACATGTTTACATAGAAATTTTGAGAAGAAACTTGAAAGAAATTGTGAAAATATTTGGGCTAGAAAACAAATTTTGTTTCTATCATGATAATGACCCCAAACACTCAGCAACGTTAGTCACCGAATGGCTACATAATAACTGATCCAAACTTATAAAAAAACCACCATATGTTAATGTGATAGAATACCTGTGAGAAAAATCGGAGGTAGAAATTAAAAATCATGATTTTTTAGTAAAGATTTAAAAAAATCTCCTTGAGAATTGGAACAGGCTAAGCCTGGAATCACCAAAAAAATTGACTCCATTAACAGACTGAAAGGAGTGGTAGAAAATAATGGCTTACCTACAAGGTGTTAAAGTAAATTAATAGTATTTAAATATTACAAAGAAGTGTGGTGTATCATTTTGACTGTTAGATAAAATTATCCATTTTTTATTAACTTTTTTTAAATAACCATAACCATAGTTGAATATTTAAATTTTATTGAGTTTGTACATATTAAAAATGAGATTATAAATAAATCTGCTGAAGAGTTTCTGTATTATTTTGAGGAACAAAGAAGTGTAATGGGTCTATCAGTTGTTTGTGGACATAATAGTAGAAAAAAAAAGTCAAGATTGACTGAATAATAACCAAGTTATTGGAGGAAACATGGAGAAGACTCTTAAGGTGGTGATAAATGGTACATTTAAATTACTTGTTATTAAATATATAATTTATTTATTCAATTATTATAATATAAAAAACACTTTAAAAAAATACAATCCATTTTTGGCAACCATAAAATTGTCTTTTTGTAACAGAAATGATGTGCTAAAATGAAATAAATTAAGAAACTATGTGTAAGTGCATAAATACAATTTTTTTTTTCAATCAATCAACATCGATTGAGAAAATACAGACAATATTTTGCTATCTGTTTAAGCTAAAAGATAATTAGAATACTATCTGGAAAAAATTATAAAAAGAGTAAATTTGATGAATTGACAACGTAATTTTATTGTTTTTAACTTCAGCAACACATTTTAAATGTATTTAATATTTTAGTGCAGATAAATAAAACTCTTTCTGTTTCTACCTAATTAATTAATTGCATGTGAAAAGAATGATGCCTGAATGATTGCCAAAGATATGTATGGAATTGGAAGTAGAAGGGAGAAAGGAAAAAAAAGACTAAAGGTAAAATGGAAAGACGCGGTGGAAGAAATCCTGGCAGGTCATAGCATCAGAGAAGGATGGAAGAATATCTTAAAGGATATTTAGGTCAAGGATAACCACAGTAGTGGAAAAGTCCTTAATAAAAAAATAAAAAAATTGTTAACATATCTATATCTCATCTAATCTAAAAGGTAATATTTCATGGACGTCAAACAACATTGAATTATTATTTAATAATATAATAATCTAGCAAGATACATTTATTTTATTATTTTTATTTAGAAATGAAATTTATTCTGAGACCAAGTCCCTTAAGAATAAAAACATGTGCATAAACACAATAAAATACAATACTAGCGAAAAAAAAAATAACTTAAGTTCAATCAGTACATACATTATAATAAGTTAATACATATTACATGTATTAGCAACAAATTAAATTCAACTCAAGGATGAATATTATAACTGATATGAAATGAACAGGAAAAATAAAATAATAATAAACCACCTTTATAATATTGAAAAGTGGTTTGAAAAATGGAAAATTAAAATAAATAGAAGGAAATTCACGCATGTGAGTTTCTCTCTAAGGAAAGCCGTATTCCCAACTGTAGCTATAAACAATGACTCAGTACCTTAAAAAAAAATAAGTACGGTACCTCGGACACAACTTAGACAAAAGACTTACTTCAAACATACATAAATGCTAAATACTAATACTAAATTAAAAAGACATAAACTGACTAGACGATATAACCAAGTAAAACACATCTTCTAGACTTCAGATCCACACAACTTATGAAACAAGTTATTAATCTACACCATACTAAGACCAATTTGGACCTATGGAGCAGAACTTTGGGGTTCAGCCAAAAAACAAACATAAACAAAATAAAAACACAACAAAAAATTCTTCGAAAAATTGTCTACACAAGTTTCAAATAACCGATATTAAAAAGAAAATGGCCAAGAGACCTACTCCTACAATAATAACAATTAAAACAAATTTGAAGAAAATAACTAATACGACAAATTGACTAGATGCACTGCAGCACAGGTACTAAGGGCATAGAAAATTAAAATAAATAAATAATAAAAAATTGATAAAGAAAATCACCAAAATCAGGCCAGTATTGGCAGAGATATAGCCTATAGTAATTTGTACACATTTTTTGGTTTATTATGAATGAAATATTGAATAGATGGAGAATCTTTTTATCTTTAGAAGCCAAATTAAGATTAGACAGTGATAATAGAGGACGCAATGATATTTCATATTTTAGGAATGTTTTTTTTTTATATATAAGTAAATACAAACATACACTACACATATATTATATTAATTTGCAAATTTTCTTAACCTAAATAATTAAATATTAAATAATTTGAGTGCTAGTCAATAATCAATGCCGCACGAAAACTATTTAATGACATATACCACAGGTTTTTCACCTGTATATCATTATAATTCAACCAAGAAAAAGATAATTAATTTCTCCATTTCAAAATATATTGCATTAACTCATTCCTATATTATTTCATCATTTACCCACTGACTAATATACTATGTGATTTCTTCACATAAGCTAACTAGTCAGAATTAAGGTAGGAAAGGTGATATATCTAAGTTAGATAAATTATATTTAAACTAATTATTACAAACTAATACTACTTCTTTGGCATTAAGATACCTCTTATCGATATGACACTTCAAGTGGTCAGAGCGAGAGGCTTTGTACTGGCAGTGTGGGCAATGGTGAGGTTTCTCTTTGGCATGCTTTGATATAATGTGCGCCTTCAAGGTATGTGCAAGGGTCGCACTATAATTGCAATGCGGACACTTATGCGGCCTTACCTTCTCATGCTTACTCATAATATGACAGTTCAATGTACCCATTTCTGTCGCTTTGTAATCGCGGACACTGATGTGGCTTTTCCTTCGTATGCTTGTATCTGATATGGGTCTTCATGTTACCAGATTCAGTAGTCCTATGATCACAGTAAGGACACTTATGAGGTTTCTGATAGGTATGTTTGTATATGATATGCATTTTAATATTCCCTAATTGGGCGGCGGTATAATCACATTGTGGGCACTGATGTGGTTTATCTTCAGTATACTTGTTCAGTATATGAACCTTGACTGTATATGTGAAAGTTGCAGTGTAGTCACAGTAAGGGCATTTGTGAGGTTTCTCTTGAACATGGTTGTACAATATGTGAGACCTAAGAGCTGCACGCAAATTCGCTTTATATTCACAATAAGGACATTGGTGTGGTTTTTCTTGAGTGTGTTTACATTTAATATGAGTCTTTAGTGTACTTGAAAGAACAGCTCTATATTCACAGTATGGGCACTGATACAGTTTTTCATGGGTGTTTTGCCCTTATATGGGAACTAATGCTGCTACAATGATATGAACGGAAATCACAAACTGGGCAAGTATAAAGCTTTCAGTTGTTTTCATCTAATACATAATCTCTTGATTGAAATTCCATTCCATTAGTTGGTTTGGCAATGCTAACCTTATTGTTTCGGTTTATAGGTATTCTTTTTTGTAAACATGGGACATGAACAGTCTTTATATGCACTTTAAGTGGCATCATTTCATCCATTATTTTGCCACAATGGCAGCATTCGAAGGATGGTTCTCCGTTCTTCACTATAAACAAGAAAAATGAATCACTAGTTATATGCCATATAATAGTTTTTTAATATTAACCCTTTGCACTCGGTTGTGACATGAAACTCTCTGAGGGGACATGAAAGCTTATTAGCGATTACAGAGAATGAATTTATTCCAATGTAATTTTTTAAGAAACACATGATTTCCTGTAGCTTTCTGTTAAAATGCAGAACAACATCTGATTAAAATATCAAGATTCATGATAAATAAATCAAACGGTTTTACATTGAAAAAGAACAGGTGAAGTGTATTCATGACGGAATATACATTTCTCTAATCTGTTAAGCAATATATAGAATTAGTGGAACAAAGGAACAAGAGTATGGTTCAATGAAAAAGGGAAATTTGATAAATAAAGAAATTCGAAAACTAATAAAATAAATTTACGAGAATTCATACAGTAAAGATATCTTCCAATATCTTTACAATCTAATATCTTCCACAATATTGATTTTGTTAAATATTAGTCATATTTTTTTTTTTTGGGGAGTTGATCGGGGGTGCAGTCAAATAAATACTAAATTATACAAATAGTATTATTTAATTTTTGCCGTCTTCATAAGGGCTACAAAAGATACAAAACATGGTGAAAATTAAATAAATATAAGTAAATATTAAATAAGAAGTTGTCTGAAAAAGAAATACAAATATGAAATCAGAGATATAGTGTGTGACAATGTAGTTAAAATATCAAGTATTATATATATAGAAGATGCAAACAAAAATGGAAAAAAGTATGAATAAAAATAGAAAATAAAGGAGAATATAGCATGTAAGTTAAAAGTAAACAGATTGCAATAAAAAATAAGGAATGAGTGTTTAACAAACTAATAAAGATTACATTTGAAAACTATAGGTTAACAGATAAAGAAAATTAATGTTAATGAATAAAGAGATTGAAAATTCATTTTCTTTATCTGTTAACCTATAGTTTTCAAATTTAATCTTTATTAGTTTGTTATACACTCATTCCTTATCCTTTATCGCAATCTGTTAACTTTTAACTTACATGCTATATTCTCCTTTGTTTCCTATTTTTATTCATACTTATTTTCCATTTTTTTTTTGTATCTTCTGTATATATAATACTTGATATTTTTACTACATTGTCACACACTATATCTCTGATTTCATCTTTTATACAAGTTAAACCATGTATAAAAAATCAGAGGAATGAACCAAATTTGAAATTTATCAAATCTATCGAGATTAAAAAAAAAAACATAAGATATAACATCTTAAGATATATGTAAATATCAATAAATAATGTCTTTAGAGGATAAAACAAGAATTTCTAACGCTGGAAAAAAAAATATTGAATTTTATAAGATATCTCACGTTATCTATCATAGTGTCATTGATTTTTGTATTTTCATATATTATTCCTGATAATATTTATATTCATTGCACAGATAACAGAGTATATTTAGTAGTGATGCTATACAACGAAGAAACAAGGAAATCACCTGAAAAATAACGGAATTATAGAATTATGACAAAAAAAAAATCGAGTTTGGGACCACTGTGTGTTGACTTGCTGGTAGTGGTAGGTGCAAACGGTGGCGAGTGCAAAGGGTTAAAGATTAAATAATTTCTATAACGACCAATCAGTAATGACAACGAAGAATTAATTTTTCATAGCCTGTTTTATGTAACTCGAGATCCAGCCAATCTATTAGCTAGGAGCTACTAAGGAGAAAAAACAATCAGGAACTCTCGGCATCATTCACTTTCAAGCACCTGGCTGGTTCTTCTCCCAAGTTACTCTCTTCCGCTACCATCATACCCTAGAAGAGGCCAAAAAAAAATATATATATATATTAAATGATTGAACAGTATTTTTTTTTTCAATGACTACTATTAAGAAAAAATGTTTGCCATTGAAACCAGTGTAAACTCACCATTTTTATAAAGTACAAAATAAAAAAAAAACATAAATATAATAATTTTATATTTCATTAAAAAGTATAAGGCCAAAGGTCACCAATAATAAACGTTTTCACATTATTTATTTATTATTCAACATTTCAGTCTCTCGAGCCGTTTTCAAGATCATCATCATCATCATAATCATGTTCCTCTTTACCGCCTATGCAGTGTGAGGTTACTTCTTGTAGAGCTTGGACCAGGTGGAGCTTTCCAGTACCAACTCTCGTCTCCTGTTCCATTCCAAACCTCGCTTCTCGAATGCATCTCGCACGCCCTCTTCCCAGGAGATTCTAGGTCTTCCTCTCAGTCTCCTACTCTGCCACGAGTCTCATACGTCTTCCTTGCGACTCTGTTCCGATCCATACGGAGAAGGTGCCCAAACCATCTCAACTTGTGTTCTTCTATTATGGTTTCGACTGCTTTGGCGTCGAGATTGGCCCGGATTGTAATATTGTGAATTCTGTCTCGTCTAGTCTTTTCCTCCACCTTTCGCAGGTATCGCATCCCTAGAGCCTGGATCTGGCTCCTGTGTTTCGAACTAAGTGTCCAGGACTCGGAAGAATACGTCAGTATAGGAAGGAATACTGATCTGTAGACTGTCATCTTCGTTTCCTTGGTCACCTCTTTTTGGTTTAGAAAGCCTTTCCGAACCGAGCCGAACATTCTTCCAGAAGCTCCTATTTTCTGCCTTACCTCATCGTCAATATATCCATTTTCGTTGAGTTGAGCACCCAAGTATTTGAAACTTTCCACCTGCTCTGAAATATCACCATCGATCCTCAATACGCTCATGATCCTGTGAGGTTTTCTTCCAATGCGCATGCATTTTGTCTTCTCAGGGTTAATTTCCATATTGATTTCTCTTAAATCTTCCTTTAGGATATTAATGTTGTTCTGGAGGTCACATTCATTCTGGGCCAATATGACGAGGTCATTCGCAAATGCCAGCAGAGAGCATAGAGTATGCAGCATATCTCTGTGACCCAACTGAAAACTTCGCATCTTCTGATTTGCTTTTCCCAGCGCCAGATCGAGAACCAGTACGAAAAGAAGTTGGCTCAGGCTACAATCCTGTCGTATGCCCAGTGTTGTTTTGAACTCTCGAGAGGTATGGTTTCTTCTTCTAACAAGATTCCTCGTATACAAGATTCTACAAAAAATAATATCTTAATATCTTCTACAAAGGAGGTACACATTTTATGATGAAATTATATTCTTTTTGTTTTCTTATCTTAAAATTTAACATTATAATTTAATTATTTATACATAATTTTTAGAAATCAAAACTGCATTTGATGAGATAAGGGAATGATGAACTGAAAAATTAAATTATAATGATATATTTTTAAAATTATGGTAGGTAGATAATTTTTGTATTAATTTTAAACCAAAATATTTAAAAAATGGTAGATTATTTAATAAAATTTTTGCTAAAATAGAATAAAAAGATGGAATAAGGACTATATATGTAACAGACTGTTTAAAAATTATTATATATTTTATAATAAATATATTATTATGTTTATAATGATATATTTTAAAGAAAAATAACTAAATAAAATTCTTTTTGCAGAATCTTGAAAACAGCTTGAACCATCGAAACATTGAATAATAAATAAATAAAGTGAAAACGTCTATTATTGATGATTTTTGGACTAATATTTTGAATAAAACATAAAAAATAGCAACGAACCTAAAAAATATGACAAGAAAAATAATAATTTTAATAAAAACTGAATATAGTAAAGAGGATTCAGTAAAAACATAGAGGAAATTCAATAAAAACATTTCTAATAAATTACATTAAGTATAAAAAGATATAATAACCTCCTAATGGCATATGTTTACTAACTAACTCATTTCGCAGACATTTAATTTTAATTGTTAAATGAAAACTGATGAATTTGTGACCAGACCATTTGTAAATTATTCCACGAATTTTCTGTAACTTGGAAGGACCAACCAAATTGGAAGGACTGGTTGGAAATACTGGCGTAGAGAGGAAAATACATTTCTAGAGACCAAAATCACAGGTCTAAAGTCTCCTGATCAGAATGGGAGACATTATACAATGTTGCAAATTTTGACAGTATGGACGTCACTCTGTGTCTAGAGGCGAGAAACATCCCAGTCTGAATCTGGTGTGTCCACTCACACGACTTTCTTACCTATTTCAGAAAAGCTTTTATATCTTTAAATATGTCTATCAAGAAACAAAAAAAAATTAATTAGATTTATTTTATCCTGAAAATTGATCAAAGAAAAGTTTTGAGTACGATTTATTTGATAAACTCAAGCAATGTAAACCGGCTTAAGGTAGATCACTGTAAAAATTTCAATACCCTCTAACATTATTGATCAAAAAGTTTTTGAAATAGACTAATTTTGTCAAACAATAATTTCTGTTAAAAGTAGAGGTAATAGTGAAGCTTGTGTGATGTAGGCAACAGATTTTCTTACTTTCACTTGATCATCATTATTCTCTCATTCATCCCTTTCTGGCACGAGGATGTGTAGCCGTAATCTTACATTGGAAATTGCATAGCTGTAACTTCGTTAATATTTGTCCAAAATGAACAATTTTTCAGGAAGCTCTGAAACGTATAGAACATAATAAATTAAAACATGTGAAGAAAATATGATATGCTGTATCATCGCTAATACTGGTTCGATTCCGATTTTTTTTTTTTTTTTTTTTGGTAATTTAATTACCACTCAAAAGTTTTATTATAAATTTTATCATAGAATATATGCTTAGCGAGTTAGGCCCCAAAACATTTTTCTTTTCTTTATAACTTTTTTTCTTGAATTTTTTTGGGAATTTAGTCCATGTGCGAAAATTGAAAGGACAATTATTAGAACATTATAGGAAAGTTTTATCAAAATTGATAGAGCCGTTTTCGCGCTACAGTCTATAGAAAAATATGTTTTTAATTTATTGTGCAGCAGCTATTGCGCATGGAGCACCCAATTTCTGTCACAAGCATCAGTATTCAAACTCCTACAAAATAAAAAAAGAAGCAACAAAATCGGTTCAGTAGTTCCCGAGAAAATCTTGGCACAGACAGACCAATGGTTAAAAATGTGTTTTTCGGACCCAAGGGGCTCTGAAACATATAGATCCATCAAAAACCGTTTATCCGAAATTTGACCCGATCGCAGTACTTTCCTTAGGTAGGAAAATAAAAAAAATAAAAAAATTGGAACAATGCTCTAAATAAAAACAATGAAATGATGAGTAAAGATGATGAAAAGTATTCTGTCACAGAACTATCAGCTAATGCCATCCTCAAGGCTGCTTCTCCCTTCCTGCTCATCGTTACTAAAAGGTTAATGATATTAAACTTGTCCAGTATTGTGCTTACAAACTGAGATTTGTGGACAGCATTAACTTTCCGTAACTGTTTAAGAAAACAACTGCAGAATAGCAGTTTTGAGAATGTGGGTGTGATCTTTAATGAGCTGATAAAACCTAACAAAACCATTACTACTTAATGCTATTGACAAAAAATGATCAATTTGAAAAACAATTGAGGCATTCAGTTAGAAAATACTAGCATGTGTGGCTTATCCCGTAAATTTGGCTCAGTCCGACTATAATTTATTTGCATCGATGGGATAGTACTTCACTTCTTATGAAGATGTACGGAAATCCTTTGCCTACAAAACAATGGGAAGTTTTCTCTCAGGATATCCTTCCAGCTACAGAGGACTGGTAAGCCACTTCACATGAACTAACATGCCTGACTTGGAGCACAAAATCACTTTAGAAGAGCTACAGCCATCAAGAATAGTAAAACAAGTAGAGCTTTAGGACTAGACTTGATATCCAGTGAGTATTTTAAAATGCTTAATGAAAAATTGAAAAATAGCTTATTAAGCTCTATAACAAAATAGTCAGAAAACCAGGTGTCTCAGAGTTGGACAAAAAAAAAAAAAAAATGATTGCTCTATAAAAAAGGATGTACAAACGATCCTGAAAACTATCAAGGAATCTCATCTTACAAAGTTTCACACCCATAGGTTATACATGACAGATAGGTAGGTACAGATGGGTAGAAGAGAATGTTACCAAATATACAAATGGGATTTAAGAAAACTTGTAAGGATAAATGGCTCAAAAAATGAAAAGTAATAGCAACTTTCATTGATTTCAAGAGAGTCTTCAACTTAGTGAAACAAGAGTAGTTGTGGCAAAGGAACTATAAAAAAAAAATCTGGTGCGGTGCGCACATCACACAACTTTCACTTACCATCCTCTTAGCAGTAATAAGTATTTTCAGACAAAGTGAAGCGAAAGTAAAAATTATAGAGTCTATATTTATTTATATTTCGTTGTGGATATTTTTATTTGTATAAGTACCCTCATATATACAAATTTTAATATTTATATCACTGTAATCTATACAATTAAATATTAAATAATACCCACAATAGCATTTATAAAAACAACATATGTACGTGTACATAATGAGCCGTATTATATAAAGGTATAATGTAATATTGGGGTAATGTTCAATCAACATCTGACCTGGAATAATCACATTTCCCAAATTATCCAAAATTCCATTGCTACCCTCAAACAGTTCCTGAGATTCCGTGATTCTATTCCCCTTAAAATCCGTCAGCTTCTAGTTTCCTCTCTCATTTTTCCTCACTTCGATTATGGCTGCCTTATATACGGTGGACTTAAGATCAGATTAAAGAGGCTAAAGAATTGTTTTATTAGATTTATACTTGGAGTCCCCAGGTGCTCCCACATCTCCAGCCTTATATACGGTGGACTTAAGATCAGATTAAAGAGGCTAAAGAATTGTTTTATTAGATTTATACTTGGAGTCCCCAGGTGCTCCCACATCTCCAGTTGCTATGCGGAGTTGAAGTGGCTCTATCCAGTTTTTCGATAGCAATATTTCCTAGGTGTATTTCTTTTCCGAACCTTTACAACCAAAAAACCTTTTTACTTTATTGATTTCTTTACTCCTTGTTCCTCTGTTCATTTGTTCAACACGAGATCCCAATCCTCAAATTTGTTTATTCCTTCTCATAGAACCGTTTTCTTTAAAAAGTCCTTCGTTATATGTGTTACCTCGTTTTGGAATTCCCAAACAACTGCTTTATGGAAATCCTCATCCTTGACCCCATTTAAACATAATTTATTTTTCACGGCCAGTGTTTCAACTGCCTCCCGCAGTGCTATATTCTACGTCCTGATGAAGACCTGCAAAGTGGATCGAAACGTCGGCAAAAATTAAATATTTATATATTTAATTTGTATTTGAATTTGTATAATTTCTAAATTATATTTCTTCTAAATTCTATTTGTATAATTTAGTATTAATTTGACTGCACCCCCAGATCAACTCCTCATAATTTATTTTTCTTTCTCCTCAGTAATCAATCTTCTGAATATATATAAATTTATTTTGTACTCAGAGATGCCAGTTACACTATACCGATATCTTGCAGATATCTATGTATGTGTCATATTGCTTATTTGCACAAATACGTGAACTCACCCATATGTAATCATCTTTAAATTCATATGTCTACTTCAATATCATATGTTTACTGTAGTGTCTTTATTTTTAATATTATGAAAAAATTACATGTTTCTTTATTTTAATATTAAGATTAGACAACCTAGGACTCCATCTGGACAAACGTCTAACTTGGAATCCTCATACCAGACTGAAACGACAAGAAACAGCTCGACGTTTCCGACTACTTCAACACTTACTAGACAAACCCTCTAACCTTCCAATTAATTACAAAAGACTCATTTCCATGACTATAATAAGGCCTATTTGGACTTGAGTTGAGCTATGGGGCTCCACCAAACCTTCAAATTCCTCTAGTATACAATCCTTACAATCCAAAATCCTTAATGCTCCTTACTTTGTTACAAATAAAATCATTCATAATGACCTTAATGTTCCTTATGTATCAGATTTGGCCCAATCCAGATATCTGTCCTTCCATAATAAACTTCATAAACATCCCAATCCTCTTGTTTCTAACCTTGCTTCCTATTCAATTCCCGATAACACTCCAAGGCGTCTGAAAAGAAGATGGCCACGTGATCTAATATAGACATATTATTAGAGTGCTACCAATGGGTAGTTTCTCAACATGTGTTTCATGTCATTATATCCATGTGCGAATTTACTAGATGTATTTTTTGTATACAGTTGTAAATATCATATAAATAAATTTTTAAAAAATAAAAAAAGATTAGACAACTTTGTAAATCAATTTATTTTTTATTGTCATTTAATTATTCAAAATTGCCAGACAAGTGTCATTTCTCTGTTCATTGTAGTTATTCTGAAGGGACTAAATGTTCCACAATAAAATTTACTTTCTTTCTTTCTTTCTAATTCTCACTGTTTTTGAGAACTTTTTTTATGATGCAGATTTGGTCTAGCATGCTTCTCCCTTTTCTGAACTCACCTTGATGGTTGCCTATTATATTCTCGTAATACGGATATATCCGGTCTGGTAGGATATTGATCATTAACATGTAGGCGACCGGAAAGAGTGCTTCTTTAGGATTGGACAGATTAGGCCCATATTCCAAGTCTCAGGTATCCTTTCCTCTTCCCATATTTTCTGGATTAGTTGTATCAGATTGAGTCTTAAGTCGGCTTCTCCATCTTTAAACAGTTTTGATGGTAGGTTGTCTATCCCTGGGGCCTTTCTTGCTTTTGAGCCTATTTCTACATCCAGTATATCTGGTTTTTCAAAAACTTCTGGGTCAAGGTCCTCAGTGTGGTTCAAGTCTTCTTCGTTCGTGGGGTTCCCTTGATTGAGAAGTTTCTGGAAATTTTCTTTCCAGATGTTAAATATACTTTCTTTAGAGGCCGCCAGAATGCCACCTTTTCCTCGCATTTACATATTTCTCGCTTTATATCCTACCCTTTCTTTCCTAATATCTGCGTTTATCACCAGCCTGCCAGTTATCGTCAATGGTTTGCAGTCTTTCTTTGAGGAATCATAGCCATCATATCTTTCTAATATACTAATAAAGTTTCTTTATTTAAACTGTTTGAAGAAAAACATCCTCGTTTATTAAACTTTAGGTCCATAATAAGATATAGTTTAAAAATTAAATAAAGAAAACTAATATTAGGAAAACTGATTGCTGAAGCCCAAGTTTGTTATCTAAGACATCTCTACTAATATTTGAGATCAATTTTTCTTTAAAAAGTTGATATTTATTTTAACCCAAATTGCTAGATTTAGAAATTCTAAATAGTCAAATAATTTAAAAATGACCCACATATTGCATATTATAAAAACTGCATTTATTTATTTACATAATTACAATAATTCACATAAATAATAATAATTCATTACCTTCATTGAAAGGAGGTTCTACGTCAACAATTATCTGTTCAGGGTCATTTTTTAACAAGTTTTCTTGTGATAATTCTATAAAAAGATATAAATATACATCAAAATACTAAGTACCGAATACCTGTGATAAAATCAGTTTAGTTATAAAACATCTAAGTAACATTTGCGGACCTAAAAATTCTCTACCTTTATCTAAGAACTTACCAAATAATTGATTTGATATTTGAGTCTCTTCCTTAACTGAAACATTCTGGGCAGCTTCCAAAGCACTATCTAGAACGTTGGCTACCATAAATTAATTACTCCAATAGAAAATTCCAAAGCTTACTGTTTCCATAATCATATTCTTCACTGCAATTTTCTGCTGGTTCTTTTTTAATCCAAATCGCACATGTAGAAACATCTAGAAACATAGCTTAATTATATTTATCTATTTGAACTAAGATCCAGTGAGGTAGTTTTAATTTTATATTATACATAGAATGTAAAGATTTTTATTAAATATCATAACCTGGCAAAGTTATCACTACAGTAACCTATATTACAGACATGCTTTTGTCAAATTGATGAAGCAGTCCCTTCTTGGGGATTCATGTGTTCTTTTATTCGTTCTTCTGCTCTATAATTCTTATAGAACTGTCCATTAAGATATATTTGGCTAAACCAATCGAAACAATGACAAAAATAACAGTAAAAACATGTATAATTAAAGTATAGAAGTCAGTTTGATAAAATGCATACAGAAAAACGTTTTATATGAAGGTACGGGAGCAAAATTTTGTTTAGTGATAATAACCAAATTATTTATTTAATACAGCATGAAAAACAAAATAAACATAATTAATAAAATGAACCTCAGTGAAAAACTGTTGGAAATAATCAATTGGCTCAAACATGTCTCAAAATGTTAGTGAAAAACCGTAAACAATGTTAACACTGAAAACTTTCCTTGCGCTAGGTGAGGGTCATGCTCAAAATAATTTTTCTTATTTTCTAAAGATTTTTTTTTTATTCGCTGGCGATAATGAAACGGTAAGTAGTCAAAAAAGCTACTCTATCTGTGAGACAAATAAATGAATTAATTTAAATGGTAGAGTACACTACTACAATGAAGAAGAATTGACGCGAAAAGTATTGATCTGCCATTTAGGCGATATTGCTTCAACTAAATAATAAAAAATATCTGACTTACCTGTTTGTGAGGGAAATACTGGGAAACTAATAGGATCAAGCAGTAACTTTATTATTTTGACAAATGCTACTTTCACCGGGTTAATAATAGAAATAATTTCTAGGAGATTATTTTTTAATATAAATTAAATACCGAATAAAATATAATAAATACATTTTTATTACTTTCTGGAATGAGTAAAATGCTCACAGCAACATCTTTTTCATATTAACCTGACAAAGATACCGTTCGTCAAAATGAAGTTTCTGCTTGATCCAATTAGTTTCCCCGTATCCCCTTCCTCTGGCACTACCTCCTCTCAGCAGTGCTATCCCCATTTATTTCACAAGCGATCCTTGGGGATGGAAAGCTTCCACAACAGGTGTCTAATCATTTTTATTATTTAGAAGAGGTAACATTGTATAAAAGACGAAGCATGGTGCATAAGACCATTTGGTGTTAAGTTTTTTTCATTGTAGCGAAGAACTGTATTGTTAATAGTAATACATCAGTAGTTAAAATAATGTTATCTACTAATGCTTCTTGAAATAATGATATTTTATTAATAATAATAATAATAATAAAAGGCTTAACGAACCCGAAGGTTCGATGCCAACACCATCAATCGCTTATTACACACCTCCCTCCACCCGTTCACCGTCCAAGCCCAGTCCCTTCAGATCGACTTTAATGCAATCTTCCCACCTTCGCTTCGGTCTACCCCTCGGACGCTTACCATTCGGCACAGCAAATATTAACCTTTTAGGAATTCTCTCGTTACTAAGCCCAACAACTTTACAAGCCCATTTGATTCGCCGCGATGAAATTACCTCAATTATATTACCCGGATACAGCTCAATTCGGTGTTGTGTAACCTTCTGAACTCTCCGGTTAACTCATCCTTCTTCGGTCCGAATATTCTACGCAATACTTTATTTTCAAAAACCTTAAGACGCTGCTCATCCCTTAATGTAAGCAGCCAAGTTTCGCATCTATAAAGAACTGTAGGCAAGATAATTTATTTATAGATTCTAATTTTTAAGTTCCGGGATAAGAAGCGCGAACTAAGTAGTTTTGTCACAGAAAAATAACAAGCATTTCCCACCTTCAGTCTAACCTTAATCTCTTCTTAAATTTCGTTTTTTCTAGTTATCGTAGAGCCTAGATACCTAAATTTATCTACCTGTTCAAACATATTACCATCTATATCGATATCACCAGTAGTATCGCCATGTTTGCAGCTAACCATATATTTTGTTTTATCCACGTTTATTTCGAGTCCTAGTTCTTTACCGGCTTTCATTAACGTTGTCGTATTTTGTTTTATAGTTTCAACGTCTTCGCTTAACAATACCAGATCATCAGCATGGCCCAGCACGGATGTTGTCCCACCCAGACCCTTGTCCAACCCTTTCTCGGTGCGCATTACCTCCCTAATGGCATGTTCTAATGCCAAATTGAACAGGACAGGCGAAAGAGGATCCCCCTGTTTTAATCCCGACCGAACCTCAAATTTTTTGGACAGATTATTACCGATTCTAACTTTATTGAGTGTCTTCGTCAAGCACATCCTGACTAGATTTACTAATTTTTTTGGAATCCCCTGCTCGATTAGAATATTATACAGTTTCTGGCGGTCAATAGAAACGCCTTTTTAAAATCTATATACAGCTGGTGAACAATACCGTTGTACTCCAATTTTTTCTCTAATATTTGCCGTAAAGAAAATATTTGATCAATAGTCGAACGATTCCGTCTAAATCTTTTAATTCTAAGATATTTTATTACATATATTTATTTTGTTATTGATATTATATAAAATAAATAATTGGTTTATAAACATTAAATAATCTTTTTATCCCAAAACTCAATATAAAAAGTTCTTTTCTGAATCCATTACAACAAACTGATTTCTATTTTTTTATTAATTATGTTGTTACGGTTATAGTTATCGTTGCTTCGATTGGTTTAGTTCATATATGTGATAAAAAGGTTAATAAACAGTTTGATAAGAATTATATTACCAGAAAGAACAACAAAGAAAAGCAAGTCTTAGAAAAGACTTCATCCATTTGACAAAGCCATACCTTTGAAGTAGTGTGCAATAAACCTTTCCTGGGTTAAACAAGTATGAGATTATTGGAAATATAAAAAAGTATAAGTTTAACCCTTTAATGATGTGGGAGTCATATATGAGCCAAGAAGGAATCGGACCCAAGCAATGGTGGACTCATATATGAGTCGAGAGCCTGTTGGACTATTTCTCGATTAAGAACGGGAAGCTCAATGATAATTCCACTTTCAAACTATCTCAACGTCTTTTTTGTGAAGTGGTAGGTAATTTTTCTGCGATTGAAGATGTTGGCCAGTTTAAAACGAAGTCTTAAAAAGTAAAATTCATACCTCTCAAATCTGAACTTCGAAATAAAGGAGACCCTTAAATTTTAAAGCTATTTAATGAAACGCTTTCATCAGCCAGGTCACAAAGTTCCAAGAGAGAGCATTGTGTTCCAGTCATATTTGACCCATTTCAAATGAGTTTATTTTCTTTGAAAAGTATAAATACAGATTTTCATTCTGAAAGAATCCATTATGTTTGTTTAATAATTATAAATTATTTAAAGCCAAGATTAGAACCACCATTAATTCAGGCAACATATCTTCTTCTTAACTAACTATAATGAGTACCACTATACAAGTATCACTCCAATTTGACGAGTGGGCCAAGATCTCATGATCAGGCTGTTATGAGATTCAGAGGATTAATGTGTTTATAGTATAACCTCCCTTTATTTAGATCTTGACTTACAACTTATTAACTACCAACTGCTCCTTTTCAATTAAAATTTACTGACTTGTAAGGGATAACCAAACTCCAAGGAGTCCTTTTCAGCTGAGGTCAGAACCTTATCAGACAATACGTCGATTGTGTCTACTGTTATAGTAATACTAACTATACACTAATACTTTTATAGTTTAGAACGAACTAAGTTCATAAAAAACTAAGTTGTTACTACAGGAGTTAAAACTTAAAATGTAATTTATGAAATCAGTTTCATTTTTTAAAGATTGCCCCTATGGTTTTTCCACACAAAGTTAGAATGCTATTGAGTTTGTCATATACATTGGTATGAAGCATACACATACAATCGAAATATACAGCAGATTTATAGTAAAATATTTTGATTAGTGTAATGGAGAAAATGAAAATATATGTATTAATGTTACAGCAACTTACTAAATGGTTTCTCTTCACTATCATTTTCCATAATTAGCGAGGAAGTACTAACTTTAATAACTTGCAAACTAATACTATTAGCACAATATAATAAATAACTAAATAAAAGGTTGGAACTAAAACAATGATGCGTAATAATACCCAACAAAATTGTTCCAACTCGTTGTCTTCCGTCTCCAATTCTCCCATTATAAATTGTATTTGAATAACAAGAGAGAAGTGGATAAAAGTTACACCTCACTTTATACAACCCTCGATATCGCCATGATAAATTTTAAAATAGCGTATTCGTTGACAATTAGAACACATTAAAAGGCATGAAGTTTATCTTGGCAGATCAAAAAGATAACCCTTAGATTTCCATCAATAAACCACCGCTGTCAAACAAAGGCAACGAAGAAGGAATAAACGACAACCATCTTACAACGAAGTCCAACCCACAAATTAGAACTTAAATGAAATATCTTGAACTGTAGATAGCCCCACATTAGAACATTGGAAGGTATTTAATAAAATAAAAAAAATTCACAAGTATTTACAAAAGTCGATAAACTGATTAAAATAAATAATCCTATAGTACGGCATTAAAATTGCTTTGGCTTCATAAATATATCGCTAATGAATATTTTTAAAACATTTTTTTTTTAATTTCTGTTTGATTATTTTTGGAATAATGGAAGAGTATTTTAATGTCGATATTGATTTGAATAAATCTTTATTCGCTAGCAAATAAATGTCATCAAGCATGATGTTTACTGTGTAATGTAGCATCATTAGCATTAAATATTTTAAAAAAAAATTGTTGGAGTAGTTATATGAAAAGAAAGAACATGAAGTGAGGAGCTAACATTTTTTGGTTATGAGTTTAAAATGAGAAGGCACTAATGATTGTAATTTTTATAAACTACATAATTTACTTTAAGCAGTGTGTTCCTGTAACAAACCAGTGATATATATTAAAAATAAAGTTTGTATAGACCTCTCAAAATAATGTTATAACTACCGAGCGACGTGTTCCTTAAATCATCGTTAATTCCATCGAAGGAATCCATCAATCGATTGAATCCAGCATCGATGGACAGCGATTTATATTATACTGAGTTGAGGAACGATCATGCAAGCAAAATGTTATCACCTCTGTTAGGTTACAAAACACACGAAAAAATGTATATATGTAAGAAAATATTTACTTAATGAGTTGTTGAATTTGAAAACAGAAATAAAAATCTGATGCGCGCCACACACAACTTTCACTTACTCATTGAACTTTGCTCAACTTTGAATAGAATTATTTTCTGACCATGTTGGGCTATTATAAATTTTTTTAATTGCATTTTTAACTGAGCTAAAGCTAAAAGATTGCAGTTAACAAATCATAAATACTATTAAAATAACAAAAGTCCTATTTATTATATCACCGGTTGATTATGGATTGAACGAGTCGTTGATTATAGATTGTTCGATTCTTTGATTATGGATTGTACGATTATTAGTTATAAAACTGTTATCTTCCATTGCAAAGTTTATTAAAACGGAATTAAGAGATTTACATTGTCTGTCATAGACAGGTCAAAAGTTGTCACACTAATTGTAAGCGGATTCTGTTAGAATATCGCAAAGGGAAAAATTTATCAAACTATTCACTAATTTAATTTTCTAAAAGGTTGCATGATGATTTTTCGGAATAAACGGACGATAGATACCTAAATATTTAAATATAATATCAGATATAGAGTTATTAAACTACAGTTAATATATATAAGGTTATAAACGTATCTATGAAATATTTTTATATTTCACTTCTTCTTTCACACAAGCAAAATAAAATGAAATAGTAGAGGAAATGCTGTTGAAATATCACAAAGGGAAAATTCATCAAATTATTCACTAATTTAATTTTATAAACAGTTACATGACAATTTTTCGGAATAAACGTTGATACCTAATTATTTAAATATAATATCAGATCTATAATCACTAAAATACAGTAAATGTATTTTAGGTTATAAACATATGCTTTATACATCCATGAAATGATTTTATATTTTACTTCTTCTTCCATACAAGTAAAATGAAATAGTTTTTTTTAACAATGACATTGACTTGATTAGGTGGATTTTAAATACTTTCTACAAACGTAAAAATATTTTTTAAAGTTTACATTTAGTTAGTAATTTTCATTAAATTTCCTTGAAAACATGTGATTTACGTTAAATATTATCAGTTTTCAAAAATTATTATTTATAATTTTTTTGCCACTCTCCGCTACCTTCTTCAACTTTCTATATTAGATATGTTTTTTTCTAAAACTCTCCGCTTTCCAACGATATATTATAAGCATACCTTCTGACTAGTATATCCGAAGATTCATTTTTGACCTGGATAAGCAATTTTATTTGTTTCTCCTTCATTAAATTATCTAATTCTTTGAAAAGTTATATTCAGCATTTTTTCGTAACTCTGAATAATGTGAGATGATTAACTTTTTAAAATAAACCATATTAACGGTACTTTAGAGGAAGACTTATATGAACATTGGGTATTTAGCCCTGTAAAGTGACATCAACGGGGATAAGACCTATTGATAGTAAAGACTACGGTATTGTTAAATGTTTGTGTATAAGTGGGGTTTTTTTATTTTTTGAGGTGGTGAAGGGTTGTGTGTTTGTGTATTTTGGTGGGGGGAAGTAGTTGGTGTTTTGTAGTGGATAGAGTTTTTTATGGTAGGAAGGGGTTAAGAAGTTTGTAGGTTTTTGGTAGGGATATGAGTTGGATGTGTGAGTTATTTTGTAGTTTTTTATGGTTTAGGTAGTTTTGTGTAGGTTATTGGGGTTGTGTGGGTAGATGGTTTAAATGTTTTAGTGTGGTGGGAAAGGGGTGTTCATAAGTTTTATTTTTTGTGATATATGTGAGATTTTATTTAAATGTTAGTTTGTGGAATTTTTTAGTGTAGTGTATATGTTTTTTTTTTTTTATTAAGAGAAAAATTTTTTTTGTTAATGTTGAGTTATTTATGTTGGGTTGTGTGTTTGTGGTTATTGGTTTTTTGATTTTTTGTTTGTGTATGGAATGTAGGTGATGTTTTTTGGGTGTTTGGTTTGTGTGGTGTGTGATTGTGATTAGTTTTATTTGATGTTAGATTTATGGTTGTTTAATGATTGTTTTTTAGGGAGTTTGGGTTTTTTGTGGTAGGTCTTATTGCTACTGTTTGTCATAGTCGCAGACTTCGAAAGGGGAGGAAAGGCAGTGGCGAAGGGTGCAATTGCCTCCTCAATAAAAATAGAGAGGGAACGAGAATATCGTTTGCCCTCCCCTCTCCGCCACAAAAAAAATCTAAATCAATTAATGTACATAATTAATATGTAGATAATTAATGTGTCGATTATGTTAATTATCACTCACATTTTTTATATATATTATAAACGCCCGAGATTTGTTTTTTTACACTTTACACGTTAGTCAAATAAATTTAATATTTACTACCATCTACATTTTGGTAGATATGTATTAGACATAATAATTTAATAAATGACCAGAAAATAATTAGTAATTATATATACAATGTTTACAATAATATGAAAAGAAAATAACAAAAATTAGCAGTCATATTGAATATTCAATAGTTGACCATTGCATTAGTCAGGATTTTCAGTTTAGGATCTTGTTACTTAGCTTACTCTGTTTATATTTTAATGTACTTACTGTTTATAATTTTAATAAGCTTATTCACATTGTTTATAATTTATTGTCTAAATGTTATATAACTTCCACAATTCTCTATATCTTTTTGTATCTTGTCCGTTCTAGCCCTGAAGAAGACCAACAAAGTCGGGTCGAAACGTTGGCTTTTAATAAAATAGTTTTGTCACTATTTAGCCTATTTATGACTGCCACCCCGGACCATCTTCTTTCTGCAAAAATTAGCAGCATTTAAAAATATGTAACAAAGGTCCGAAACCTTAAGCGAATGAAGTATTGTAAAAAAAGAAAAAAAAAGTAATGTGAAGACTTTATTGAAGCCTTCCTACAACATTTTGAAATATTTTGTTTTATATTTTTGTTCCTGTGTTGGCCCAAGATTTCTGTTGAAGTCCTATACTACTATTTTTTATTTTTATAGACATAACTATATAATACAAACCAAGCTTGTCCGCACATACTGAGCATTGAATAGATTAAATAAGTTGAGAATCGATCAAAATCCTTAGAAATTTGTGCCGGTAATAGGTCAGAATACCCGTTTCTGACCCGCAACACACTAAAAGCGGTTATTAAATGAAGCGGTTATTAAATTAAACAGTTATTTTAGAAACGACATCCGTAACTGTTAAGAATAATTTTTAATTTGTAAGAAGTTTGAATAAGGCAGATGGCTTAAAATCATTTACTTGCAAGTTTGTCATTTACATTTGATTAAATTACACTAAAATATATCAAGTGTCCGCCACTGCAGATTTCAATTTGATATCAATTTTTTAAAAATGTTCACGAAGCTCCCTCAATATTATTAAAAATTTCAATATAATAATTGTATGTTTAAGGCCTATATTAAACTATATATACTGATCTTGATCAAGCTCTGTGGGATACCAAATTTCCGTTGGCCGTCTTGGCAGTATATTTGGGTAGATGGGTGATGCTTAGTTTTACTTTTTTTGGGAGCAGAAGGGGGGAGGAGTGTTTATTTATCCCCCACTATGATACTTTGTTTTACATTATATTTTTTAAGGGGGAGCACGGGCGGATCTACAGAGAAGAGTTTGGGGCTGAAGTCGTCCCCTCCCCCCCCAAATGGTATAATATAACCATGTTTTATGGAAAAAAATATTAAAAAATTTTCTCTTAAAGTATTATTATTCGTTTAATTACATTTGAAAGGACTTTAGGACTCCTGAGGAGGAGGGTTAATCCCCATCTTCTCTGAATTTTTTAAAAAGATAAAATGGCATTTTTTTAAATAACGGTAGTTAATCTGAAACAAAAAGGTGGACTATATAAAATGATATTTAAGTGGTCCTTGAAGAAATATATATATATAAAATTAAAATTAAAATGTATTTTAAAAATGCAATATATTTATTTCTCCACCGGCTTTAGCACCACTGAGGTGGTTGAGAGAGTAGCGCAGGGATTTGGGTTCCCTGCCTGATTGTATATAGGTATGATTGTATTTTTATGTTTTTAATTTACTTATATTTAGGTTATTTTATTTTTTTATTGCACATAGTTTTTATTTATTATTATTTAGTTATTATTTTACTTTTGTTAATTTTTTTTTTTTATTTTTTTTTTTTACGGTGTGAATGAGTTCATTTATCGATATAGTTATTGTCCCCGTGACAGAATATTATATGTCTAAATAAATAATAAAAGAAAGACTATATATATATAGTTCTAAAGTTAATGTTCAAATTATTTTTATAGA